CATTTTTAAAAAAAAATTGTTAAAAAAGAAGAAGAAAGGCGGCGAATTACGACATAGTGCCTCGATTCACCATGCGATAATTTCAGAAAAAATCATTGACGTATCATCACATAATGCTTCCTTATCAAAGAAAGCGCAAGGACCTTTAAGTTCAGCAAAGCACACAACTTTCTTTTTTGTGGATTGCAATTTATGCATAGACATGGACGCTAAGGGTTATATATGTATGTCTAAAATGATCGCTAATGAGACCCCACTTTTTTAATCCTCACATATTTACAATATCTGCTGCTCATGTTTCCTCATAAATACTCCCTCCAAAAGCATCTGAACAGCTTATAATCAACTTATCCAATTTCAGCTTCTTCATAGAGAAAATAGAGTAATTGAAGCGATTTTATATTTATCGATAGAAAAGTAATTTTTCTCAGTCTAAATTTGACTTTTTATTTTCTGTTTTTTTTACCATGCATAGCCAAATGCCATATACAAACATAGCATTCATTTGAGTATAGTTCTCTCTCCTTAAACACTTAAATCAGCAAAACAACTGGTGGCGCGGGGAAGCTTGCCCTCACGTTATCCCACAACCAAAAGAGGCACCAAATGAATACACCCTGAAAATTCACCAACCTCTAGACTAACTCTAGCAAGAACTGCTCTTTTGCTATTGAAAATCTCAAGTGGCCTTTACATACATACTTCATCACTAAAGTGTTTGAGGTGTGATCAATTAAACATTAAAGCAGATATAGCAAACATTTCACAAAAATTTATTATTAAAGCATAAAAGAGCGAGCTGAAGGGCGATGTAAGGCTATAATAATTATGTGGAGGAACGATAATCCACAGCGCGTAAACAAAATATATAATAAATGAAGTACCGGTAAACGTGAATCTGTATGCTACTAAGGTACATACCACGAACAAAATCAAAGGATAATCATCCCGTAATGCGTTTCTTGACCAACTGGAAGTCATGGGCTGTAAGGGTGGATATATGCATATTAGCGGGAAGCTCAACATGATCAATTGGACCAACCTTCCAAGTGTATTCGGTAATTAATGTACAAGGAGCAGCAAAATGATACTACTAGTCTTTCAGACAAACGCGGATTAGCAGTGCAATGTAAGCACAGAAGGAAAGAAAGTAGTAGATGTAACAAAAACCATTCAACAGATGAAACTTCACTATTAGATGACAGAATGAGAATTGCAGTTCAATAACTGCAAGGATACCCCGAAATAAAAGTTGATAATATAACAAGCATTTTCGTAAAATTATGAACACTATGCTTAACACGTGAGATAAACACAGAACAACTTACTAAAAAAGGATACTACGATGTCCGGAAAATTAAAAAAACCAAAAACAAATACACTCTACTTCAAACACTACTCCTAACCAGAATAAACTCTGTTCACCTCTGCATATTTGTAAATCTTATCCCATACAGATATGAAAATCGACAAAATTTTGGTTGGATGGGAAACGATACGTTTGTAAATGCGAGAACTGTTTCCCAGACAACATGTGTAATGCCGTCCGCTCGAATCACTCATCGTTGTGAGCCCCTTTCCTCAAACTTTGTAAGGTCTTCTTCTTTCTTCCGTTTATCTCCAAAATAGTTGCTGGATTTCTTGAATTTGTTCACACCAAACGTGCCATCTTTGACAGCTTTTTCATAAGACTCAGCAATTTGGTCTGCATATCGTACTTTCAGCTGTAATTATGTGTTACTTGATATAACATGAAGAATATAACATACTCACTGAGCTGTCTAACCTGATCTATGGCCTTACACCATTCAAGAGCTCTCGATTCCGGATCAAAAAGGTAGTAGATTCGTTTCGGCTAAAACAGTAAGGTCAGTTCTTCTAGGAGGATATATGCGTCAGTGGTATGAATTCAAGAAGAGGAGTAAAAGAGTGTCCCAATATATCAAACTGAGAAGTGTAAAAGCAAATTATCATATATAAGTGCAAATAAAGGAGCTTTGTATACTTGAGGATGTTTGCATAGCGCTGTAGGACAGTAGAAAATAAGTCGTGCATAGTATTTTTTGAGTCTCAAAAAAGTTCTTTCACATCATTTTTCTAAACTACTGTGCAGCTTAAACTATTCTGATATACGAACCTGCATTTGTGCAAAGATACTCAATTTCATGTATAACACGCTTCCCCTTCTTCTAGTTGTTTTGCAACAATCATTTAGTGGCATAATTACAACGATTTAAATGGTATCGTGAGCTTTTTTGCTCATCTTAAATATATCATGTCACCTTATCCTGGACATTTTGATCGCTAACGACGAAATTAACAAAAGTTAATCATCTGCCGCTGAGAAAGAAACGGAATTACTTTTTTCCTGACACTTTTATTGAGCTTATTAGGACACATGACCTATAGTAAACTATTTCGAAAGGGTCCAGATTACGGATAAGTACCAAAAACCTTGGAAAAATTGGTTTTGATACCTCTTCATGTTGCTCTGGAATTTCACCCAAAAAATCATGGGAATTGCAAACCAGCTGAAAGTGAAGAGCAGATCTGGATAATGTAAGTGATTCGCAAAATGAGATAGAAACTGGACACTATAAAAAATCATGGATTTGCTTCAAATTGAAGATTATTGGAGCCAGCAAGCAGTAAAAGGCAAGTCTTACTCCGAGTGGACAAGGTCTTATTCTTGTGTCATTGGCAGAAAGCAACTTCATGTTCACCCGAAAAAACTAAGAATTCATTCACTAACCCAGGAGATA